ATAAAGTTGATTTATCTATGTAGTCAATTGAGCAAAGTCTTGAAGCTATGTTTATAAGGTTTTTGAGTATGTTGATTTTTTGTTTTGATTTTGGGCGGAATTTTAGGGCCTGTGTGAATGATTTTTCGGGGAATTTTAGTTTTGAACTGTGTGTCGGATCTAATAAAGTCGAGGTTAAAAAATAAAATTGCTTGTTTTTTTTGTATTCAATAGTGCCCCCCAGTAGTTCAACGGTATGTCTAGAATCCGGGTTTCGATACCCGTGGTGGGCAGAGCACAGATAGCTCATTGTGTAGCTTTGTGCTTAATTACAAACAAACATTGTATTCAATAGTGAATTTAATTTTAGGGTGAATGGAGTTTATGTGTTAAAAGAAAGTGTGTATGTGTTCGGTAGAAGTAAAACCAGCACAAGTGTCGTCGAAATATTTGTGCCAGTTTAGGGAAGGATAAAGCGCGGATTGTATGGCTAGTGTCTCGATCTGGGTCATAAATACTTTGGCGAGAACAGGTGAAACAGGGTTGCACCATCTGTTTGAAGAAAGTTTTTTGTTGTTGAAAATGAAGTTGATTTTTGTTGTTGTGAATTATAGGAGGAAAACAAAAAACGTGCTGAGGTTATGAATTAAAGGATTGGGTCATTAAGGGAAGCTTCGGTAAACAATGACATAACGTCAAAGCTAGCCATTAAGGCTATAGGGTTTAATTGGTTTAATGTGTTGATGAAATTAAAGACATCTTTAAAAAGAAAGCTGCAGATGTTATGTAAGGTGTGAGGGCTCGGGATATGTATTCACCAAGATTATAGTTAAATGAATCATAAGGGGGTAGTATAGGTCGTATGGGGCAGTCCTGTTTGTGTGGTTTGGGAATGCCATAGTTGTTATATGCATAGGTCAATTTCCTTAGATAAAAATAAAGATCTTCAGTAATCAAGTTGTCTTTCTTCATTTGTGAAAGTTGTTTTTTATGTGTGTTTATTGGGTTGTTTGGGATGGGTTTAAATGTCTTACAGTCTGAAAGGATGTTGTTCATTTTGTCGATGTATTTTGTGTTGTTCATGATTACTGTAGTGTTGCCTTTATTAGTTTTTAGAATTTCAATGTCAGTATATTTTTTCAGGTTGAAGATGCGTTTTATCTCGTTACTTGTTAGATTAGTCTTCAGTTTACAGGTTTGGTTAATTACATTAATTGTCTTATTGGAGAATTATTTGAAAAAATTTTTAAGATTCAGTTTTTGGGACCTTTGGGAAACCACATTTTGTTATAGTTACCTATCATGAAAGTCTGGTGGTCAGAGTTCTGGATTTCTTCTTGTAGTTCGATGCTGTTTAAGGTGGCGGTGGTCTTTTGTTGTTTTATGTAGTGAATCACTAGTCTTTACCTACTCTAGCCGTCTCCAAACTTTTATTTTCCAAAAAGTGGGTTCCTCGTCATCAAATTTACTCTTGACTTGTTTGCACTTTCCACAAAGTTAAAAAGGTTAAAAAAATCCTTTAAAGCAATACGAGTGTGCATCATTGAGGCACAGAGCAATATCCTAACTAAATCTACAAAAGTTCTAGGGAGATGGACTGATAACGACCCCACCCCAAGTCCGCCTACCAAGTTTATTCTTGTTATCTTCAGAGTTGTGGGAGGAGATAGCTTGGAATACATACAAACCTATAAGTTAAACCTACAGAAGTTCTAAAGAGCTAGAAAAATATGGGGAGAACTTATTTGCAAAACCCGTTGATAAGACATCGCTCGTCTTCATCATGGTGACATACGAGCTTGAAACATCTAAACGAAATCGAGAAAAGAGTAGAATAGCTAAAGTAGAGAAAAGCCAAAAAAGTAGAGAAAAGCTCAAGCCAGAGCAGCCTGACTCAGTTGGGAATATAGTGTGGACTACTGAGCTGCACTATGAAACAGATGTTGATTTTCTTTGGCAACACCTGTAGACCGCATTTATGTCAGTGGGTGAAACTATCATATTAAGAAACACATCAGGGAAAACAAAACGTGGCAAAACAAGGCTATAGTATTTGGATAACATAAAAATTGGACAGGAAAAATCTGGTTAATAACATTAGAGCTGCAACAAATAATAAATAATGTAGAAGGATCATAAATCGTGCTGCTGAGACGTTCAAACGTCAAATATGACGATGCCCGAGAGATGTCTTAATAGGCTTTCAAACATACCCTTGATTCTTGATACTAGCATAAAATCCCCGCGCTCCTCTGTGGGGCTCAAAGGTTCCTTCATAAAGACCCCTCATGGTTAAAAGATGCTCAAGTCTATCGACCAATCTCCTGCATTATCCCGAGTTACTTCTATAATATCTAACCCGGGGGTCTGTACCTGAAAAAGAAAAAAAAAAACTCGTTAAGAAACCTACACGTGGTACCAGAATTTGTTTGCCAAATTTGGGTCTGCTAGTTTGTGAGTAAGGGTATGTTGAAGTAGTTTCAAACATGGCGTCCCCGAGATCCCGAGTGAGACCAGGAACACAAAATTTGATTTGGTGGAGTATAATTATATATTTAAACTTTGATGTCACACCTGTATCGATGTGCCATAATTATGAGTCTTCCATTCAACTTATCTCCGTTATGGCTTTGGCACTTGGTAATGGCAGACATGTTTTTCACCTATTAGCTATTGTAATGACACTTGATAAGTGTTGGATATACAAGACTGTTTAGTGTAGGCATTGTTATTTAATTTATTTTGTGAGTTAACATTTAATAATTGTTTAATTTTTCATAACAAAAGAGTTAAAAGTTAATCATTTTAAAGGCGATAGTATAACAAGTTTGGTTACGTGACTCTGTACGAGTCGTACGTTGTGTTTGCAATTACATTGTTGTCGAGGCTTAAGTATTATTATTGAGGTCATGTTACTTGAATCTTCAGTATTTTTCTCGTTACCTTAACTAAGTATTGTTAAATCAGTGCAGTTCGCGTACTTTACAGAAAATTCCAGAGGCCTCAGTGATCAACATATAAATAGCGGCGACCAAACGAGTGAAAGTGAAGTGAAGAAAGGTAAAAATAGAGACAAATTACAAAACGTGAAGTTAGCTGGCGTGTGAGTGATTAGCCTTAGTGGTTGATATTTTAAAGTGAGTTTCACAGTTTAAATAGAGATAAGGAGAATATTTTGTCTTGTCAAAGGGTGTTCTCAAGTAATTGAACCCGCCTTTGTGGACTTTGACGAAAAGGAGACAATTATTTAAGGTTCATGATATAGCTGTGGTAACCCACGGGATAACGTAAGTAAATTACTCACTGATAATATTGTGATAAAAGTACAGAAAAATATTTCGTCTTGTCAATTGAATTCTAAAGTAATTGATTCATTATAAGTGGACCTTTGACAAGAAAAAGATAATTATTTACAGTTTGAGATGTAACTGTGATTTCCATTGTGTAACGAATTTTTGTACATACGTTTGACATAAATATATTATTTTAAAATAAGTGGATTGTGTGCTGTCCGTTTATTGTTTGAATTTATGAAACAGGTTACAGATACCAACTGTAGAAGAATCCTCAGCCCACTTACATTCTTAAAATCCTGACAATAAGGTCATACCAATATCCTAGGGCCTCCAGTGATATCTTCCACCCTTGAAGACGTCACATTTACATGTTACAGCCTCTAGTTATAGTTTTGATATAGATTAGGTCCAAATTTACATCTCGTATTAATGTTCAAACATTTGAACGTACAACATATAGAATAATATTTTTTTTCTGGTTATGAACTAAAAAGAAATATAAGCATCACCTTTCTTATTTTATATGAAAAATAGCAAATTATACCAGTGTTAACTTCTACCCCTTATCACACCGAACTCCACCAAATTATTTAAATCGATTTCCAGACACAAATACATCTTAAAGATTCGGAGACACAAGAAATAGCCTGTTTACATCGTTTTAAACTGTAAAGGAAAATCCTTTTATGATAGTTTACTACTTTTTGATCCCTCAGACAATCGTATATAAGGTATACGTAACATACAGGTATTATGTCATCAATTAATAGATCCACTGTGGGCATAACAGAATAGTAGTAGCATGTTATAAGACTGTACCTAAAATAGAGTATATAAAGTGCAAAAGCCTTATAACAATAACAGTTGAGACAAGAGTCAAACAAAGTATACTATCCAGTGTTTTCCGACACAATGTGCTATTCTTAGGTTTTGTTGTTTAAGTGTCATGTATAAGGAAAAGATCGTGAGTCTAGAACTGAAGAGAACTGGCTAGAAGACTGCTGACTTTTCATGACATTATTTTTATCTTTTAGTGCACCGTTTTGCACCTTTTTAAATACAGTGTCTGCATTTGTTACTAGATGGCAGCAGTATACGTAGTGTGAAAGTTCGAAATATATTGTTTTATTTTCTTTCTATCTTATGTTAACAATTTAACCCAAATTTGAGCTTGGAAATATGCAAGTCTTGGAATATTTGGTTCTTAAAATACGTATCTGGCCAGGTACTTGATTTTCTTTTAAACAAGTAAATAGTATTTCTTCAGTTTTGTATCATTAAATATGTCTATATGTAGTATGTATTGTATTATGTTTACCTAGATACATTTTATGGTAGAGAAAGTTAATATTTCAAACTTTCATTGCTACATAGGATAAATACTGGTGCATTATTGTGTGAAATCGGATTAACATACCTACTTATGAATTCATCACCTGAAAACCGAAATGTCAGGGCAATAAAACAATTCTTGAACCCAAGCCACACGACACAATGGCGACATTGGATTCTACCTTTTATATTGAGATACGCATTTGTAACCACCAGTCAATTCATTTGTTTTTCTTTTTTATCTATTATATTTTAATGTTTGGCATGCTGAATAGGACCCGCAAATAAAATAGAGAAATGTCCATTAAATTTTGTTATAGTGTTAGTCAACACTACCAAATGAAAGAAGGTTCTAAGTAAGTACTGTTTTTCATGCGAACTTTATACTTGCAGAGCATCAGGTTCAGAAAGGAAATTACGGGTTATGGACTAAGTACATAAGAAGTTTTCCACATTCAGCAGAACAGAAGACTTCAGCTGATTTTCCTCTTCCGCCGCATAGCGTCGCTGCAGGCGTTATGGCAGTCGTCCACTTACTTATGCAGTTAGCATTTCTTCCTGCTGCAGTCACCCATTGTGTGCAGGTTGTTAAGGACGACCAAGACCTAATTCTAAACGCCAAGATACTTAATGTGGTGAAAGTTGTTCTGTCAATCTTAGCAAGTAAGTTGTCTGTTTTGGTAACAGCAACTAGATGTCAGGATGCGTGTTTAAGCTCGCAGACTTTATTTTTTAATTCTAAGAAGAAATAAAACGCAATAGGGCTTTTGTGTTGTTTTTTTTAAACTTTGTTTCTAGACAGTTAAAAAAAAGAACTTGGAATCTGAAAATACTATGAAAGCATGAAGAATATATATATTTCTCATTCTATCGCATGATATCGCTTTATCCCAACATTTGTCCATGGAGAATCAAAACGCTCATTTTGGATTAGTTAGTGTTTGTAAAACGTATTTGATTTCATACTGGAAATAAGAATAAATATCAATTCTTCAGTTTTGTACTAACGTATTTATAGTGTTTTTAGGCACACTTTTAGTAATGTTGGAACTTAAAAATCGTATTTTTCATTTCACTTTATTTGAGCATAAGAATAAACTGGACAATCTTTTGTTTCTGGTGTAGTATTTATTGAATCAAGACAATTGTGTCGTTGTATTTTGGTTTGGTGTACTGTCGAAAAACATTTAGAATCTCATATATGAAAAGTAAACATGTGAATAAACTTTTCTATTTACTAGAAGAGCATACATGAATGAATAATATTATTAATAAAACTATCGTTATTATTTTACAGTTTTCTCCAGTTTGCTTGTTATTGTCTTTATAACAGTAGAAGAGAATCAGTCTTTTGAGACCAAGGTATATAAAGGACCAGCATTTTGGGTGCAGGTAAGTAGCATTTACTAGTATTATTAATTATTCCTTTACTGCATTATTAGAAATTATCAGTTTTCCCGTCAGCTACCCAGGAATCATAACAACCCTTATATTTTCGCCTAGATTACCAATTGAATTCAACCCACACAAGTCACAGTGGCGGCTTTGAATTCTATGTTTTACATTGAAATATTTACGTATCAGATAACCAACTCGTGTTTGAAAAAGTTGTGTATTTCTTTTTCAATGTGAAAAACGTTATTTGATAGCTAAGTGAAGCACGTAGAGGTTATTTCTGAAACTGCTGATCATTAGACTAGGTATTTACATGTGATTCACGGAGCTTCTTTTGATAACGTTGTCAGTTTTTAATAGTTGTTTTTTTTTAATTCCTGTTGGTATTAATAACAGTACAGTAAAGACTTTTAAGTGCAAAACCATTAGCTGCGATCTTTATGTAGTGTGTATTGTATGATATCTATATAAGTACATTTCATGGTAGTTATATCTCAGATATTCATTCCTGTAGTAGATAGACAGACTGGTACAGTGTTATGTGAAATCAGAATTAATTACACACACAAAAGTTAGGACAATGAAACAGTTCTTGAATTCAATCCACACACGTTAGAGTGGTGACTTTGGATTCTACGTTTTACACTGAAATATTTTGGTATTTGTAACCACAAGTCAAATCATTTATTTGTTTGTCCTTTTATTTATTATATTTCTTATCCTTTCTTTTTAAAGAATGCGGTGGTTTCAAGCAACGTTGTACTTTCGTTTGTATGTTCACTTGAAGATGTTCGACACACAGAATTGGGATCCACAAAGAAAGTAGAGAAATGTCCATCACAAGTTGGGGTAACAGAACAATATTCAAATCCCTCGTATACACCATGAATATGAATACGTACGAACACTGAGATATACGACTATATAATTATTCTAAATAGACTTATGTTGTGATCCTTCTCTAGCAAGATAACAGGACAGTTATCACCACTGGCTAAGAGCGAAAACCATTGTGTGCTATATCACGCAATAACAAAACTGGAGTGTAAATTGTTTATTACTGTTAGTGGAAACTAAGCTACGGTTGCCTGTGTTGCTAGTTAACTAAATTAGCATCTGACATAAGGAAAGAAAACCATCTTATATCGATCAGTTCTTATCTCATCCAAAAGTGTGTTACATACAGTTTATTACTTTAACACTTTAAAAAATATGTGTGCACAATTTTTATTTTCTAGTGAATCTTTAACGAGTAACTTTTGTTCAAGTGAAACGTCAAAATGTGTGTTACAGGCAGTTTAATATTTTAACACTTTAAAAAATATGTGTGCACAATATTTATTTTCTTGTGAATCTTTAACGAGTAACATTTGTTCAAGTGAAACGTACAAAAAAAGCCGAACTTTGACATAAAAAGAATAGGTAAACTGGCTTTTAAAATTTTCAGTAATTTACCGGACATGACTGTGGTCGTTTTTAAAGCTCTTCTCTAAGTCTCAGTCATTAAACAATCAAATATGAGCTGCGTAGTTTTATCTGAATGAGGAGAATGGTAAGCTCCAAGAATGTCACTACGTAGCTAATGCACTGTATACTTCCAAACTTTGTTAAATATATACTCCATGTACAAAATATCGCTTAAATGATATATATATACACATATATATATTTGTATTTAAAAAGATGTTTATTAGATGTAGATAAATTCTATATATATATGTGTGTGTGTGTGTGTGTGTGTGTGTGTACACACATACTTAGGTAGATAGACAGTTTTATCAGAATCTATTTTGTTTTAACACTGAAAAATCTTTTAAGTTTTTAGCGTTAAACCTGTTTTTTTTTCGTGCACGTATTAATTCAGTGTTTAAGTTCGACTTATGGCAATAGTACATTTTGGAATAATTTTGTTGTTTTTTATAGATTTATTGATAACTTTTTTGTTTGTTTCTCAGTTTACCTAATCAGTTGAAGGATGTTTAATAAACATACTGTATAATTGTTGATGCACTTCTATTATGAAACAAACCTCGACGTAACTGCAAATATAATACTTATCAAAAAATAATTTAATGTCGGCCTGGCATAGCCTGATGGTTAGGACGCTCGAATCGCAAACTGTGGGTAGAGGAATCAAAACATGTCGCCGAACACGCCCTTTCAGCCGTGGGAGCGTTATGACGTGACGTTCATTTCCAATATTCGTTGACAAAGAGTAGCCAACGAGTTGGCGGTGAATGGTTTTGACCAGCTGCTTTCTCTCTTTAGCTTATCACTTCAAAATTAGGGACAGATAGCCCTCGAGTAGCTTTGTGCGAAATTCAATGAAATAGCTTTCAGTCTCATCGAAGGTATGATAAGTAAATAAATAAGGTGACTTTTGAAACAATAATTTATATGATTTATATATATGATTGAGGAAATTCCAATAAAGAAATATATTTATGTTAACTGTTCTTCACTGTTCTCTCCAAAATCTACTATTTGGTATTTTCAAGAATGCCACTTTATTGATACATAAACTAGGCGATCCAAAGTTCAAACGTAGCCATCCTTAATTTATAACGCTGAGAACAGAGAGGGCTACTTTTAACTGAATAGTGAGATTTATTGTCACAGTACTAATGTCCCCATAGTTGAAAAGCCTGTTCAAGACCATATTGTGGCTCGAATCTTTGATCTTCTGATCCTCACCTTCGCACTCTAACCACGAGGCCACGTCCAGCCGTCCAAAAGCCGAAACAATGTTATATATATATATATACAGATGAATACTCTACTAAGAAAAAATTGCACAGTTGTAATAGGAAAATATACCTCTAATTCCATGTAAATGTAAGGAATCCGTAATTTTATCTATGGTATTGCATTATTAAAGTTTTGTTTACATGTGGTTGGTGATTTTACTTTTAAGCTGTGATTTCGTAATATGCCAAATAAATTTCAGTTGATAAAAAATAAGCTCATAAATATTTGCAGAAAATAATCAAACATATTTGTTGTCATAGTTTTGAGAATGTGGTTGTTGTTGTGCCTTAAACATGAGCAAAGTGTTTCTAAAGAAACTATCTAGTCTTGGCTGAATTTGTCTTTGTAATATACGTTTTGTTGTTTATATTTAACGTTTGAATTAAATTATTTCATATTTACTTAACATAAAAAAAAAAGAAGACGCCAAAAAATATGGAAAAGCACAACGATAATCTCTGTGTAAAGTGATCTTGAACGTTCAAGAGTACACACCATTCATATTGCTATAATATTATGGAAGCTACTAGTACTGAGCTGGTTTTATGAACATATGCTACAATGTTGACCAGCTAATGGCTCCTTATAACACTTAGCTTCATCTGAATTGAGACAAGGAGGCATATCTTTAAGCTGCTAATATAATACTAAAAAGTGTGTCATATGATTTGCTCTTAAATTAAGAAAATTATATTTGTAAAGTGTTAAAAAGTTTATTGATTGAAACTTCTTTATCAGAGAGCATTATCACAACACAGAAATAACCCTAGAATTAAGTTTATTCAGAGGAAGTAATTATTTTACAGTTCTAATACACGCACATGTACATATATTATACTTACATAAAATATAAACAGCCAAAATTATATCTGCCTTTTTTTCAGTACTTTACAAGATTGGTCAATATAATGTGAATGAATTAAAATATGGCGTAATACGTAAATCCTTGAAAGTTGGATCTCATTCATAAGTTTGGTGTCATGATAGAATATCCAAAGATTGTACATAATGATTTTAACAATAAAACCAACCTAAAAAAGAAAGAATGAAGCTATCAATTTAGGAGGATCCAAGTACTGGTGGACTAAAGACGACAAAATAGTCTTTAATTTTAGGAGCGTAGATGTATTTTTAGATTAAGAACTGACCTAATTGTTAACATTGAAATATTTCAATTTCAACGAAAAAAAGCAGTTTCGTGATCACTATTTTTAATACTAATAATTATATCGAAATTAAAATATGTGAAATTGAAAAACAAAATATAAATTCAGAAAATATGAAATATAAAAAACGTTATTAGATATTAATAATTAATATTCTATTTGAATCTTAGCTTTTTATAAAAACTAATTTTAACATCATTAGGTTATATATATTTAACCAATTGAATAAGAAAGTATCAGCGTAGCTACAGCGTTATCTGTAATTCATGTATGTTGCAGATCAGCGTTTCCCAAACTTATGTCATCCATGTCCTTGCAGAGAGATTGTGAAGGTAAATAAAATGTAATTTACACCACATGTGTAAATTCATTTTTTACAAAATAATTGGGTCGAACGCGGCACACTGGCTAGTCTGCCGGACCATGGATTTTTCAGTTTATTTTTCTTTGGTTCGCTTCCCATTACCAAAAAAAAAACCACACTACGCACATTGAGGTCGAGGTTACCTTATAAGAGAGACGGTCAAGTCCAACTATTCGGTCAGACAAGGGTTAGCGGAAGATGCTGTTCACTAGCTGGCCTTCCCTCTAGTGAGTCCATTCTACCAGTTCAAAATTAGGGACGGCTATCGTAGATTTCTTGAGTAGTTTTGCGCGAATATTGAAAAACAAGGAATCAAAATAATTTGCTCTCTTCTATGAAATCATTTAATTCAAAATTTATTGCGAGGTTCCACGAAGATTCTGATAAATCTTAAATATATACTGGTTATTAATTAAAAGTATTCAAACACTGGATTAAACTATCAACACCTCGTGCGTACTAAGTAATAAAGATGTTGGTATTTGAGCTTGTAAATGAAGCAATGATCCTTAGTCTGGATAAGCGAAGCGTATTAAAATATTTTTATGCTGTTAGTTGAGTCACGAGACATGAAGTTTAATAACAAAGACAACAATTTTATCCAGTTCCTACCGATTAACTCCATAAAACGTTCCAAATTTTGTTTGATGTGGGCGTCTTCTCCACAAGAACTCGCTTTCGAAGCTATTAAAGCGTGTCTGTTTCATTTCATACAACAGTGACCTCTATCTGTGTAAAATTTTCAATTGGAAGCTTGAACAGACCTAAGTATCCTAGTGACGACCAAGGAAATTACAGTCGATTTATCCAGCACGCCAAGCTTGAAACTTTTTGTATTGTATTTTTATGAATAGTGTGCAACTCGCAAATGAAAAAATAAAACTCAAAACGTACAGTCTTTGTAAAATCAAACAGTTCTACCTGGTACCCATTGTCACCTACTTTTAATAACCTGAACTCGGGTAAGTTTTTGTTTCTCAAACAATGTACAAAAGGGATACAGTCTTTGTAAAATCAAATAGTTCTACCTGGTACCCACTTTTAATAACCTGAACTCGGGTAAGTTTTTGTTTCTCAAACAATGTACAAAAGGGATGAAATGTAAGCAATGAAATTTTTTTCAACACCTATGTGGCACGGTGCAGCAGTAAATTCGTTGTATTACCGATCCAGTTTTTAAACCCCTATATCGCACGAAACTCTCTGTATTAACGATTCAGTTTAAATTGTCCAAACCTTTACAAAGCATTGGTTACACGCTAAAGGAAGTGAAATACCACAAGAAAATAAATGTCTATACAGTGTATATAATTTATGGTTACAATATAGTATTGTCGATGTTATTCAGCTGATAACATTCAAGAGCAACATACAATATGTAAATTTCGCTATGTTGAACCAATTAAAACATACGTGATCAGAGTCCGGACGCACACATGGTTTGCAGTTCCTTCAGCGATTATAATACTCCATTTACATGTATGTATTTCACAAAATGATGTTTTATAAAACATAGACTGACATGCAGACAGAGAGATAAATGGTTAAAGTAGATTGATTTAAAAATAGTTAAACAAATAGAAATACTCGAACTAAGTTAAAACAGACGTAAAGGAATGCAGAAAATCGACTAGCGCTACAAAAAGCATTGACAGTACAAGAACTACAAAAGTACAAAAAAGCTAGACAGTAAGATAATTGGTTTTACACAGGTAGACAAAAGACAGAGTAATGACAGATAAAAGAAGCAGGTTGACAGACAAAGATAGATCGATATGTAGATGATATCGGCTTACTGGTGTTTGAAATCAATAAACAAGCACTTGCAAATAAGAATAACAAAAGAAACTGAAAAATATCAAAGTTAGGAAACATCTATAAATATATACATATTATTGGGTCAAGATAATCATATCAATGATATCGTACGTAGAAATGGTGATAAAATAATTTTTCTAAGTTAAAAATAAATCAAGTATTTTATATTAATTCTGATCTCTCGGTGGCTCCCTCTTTATTACTCAGAGCGACGACTGTTACGAATTAGAGAATGAATTAATATACTTTAAACAATATCGGATATAAGAAGTAAGAAAGCTGTCTGTAATAGCAGTAACAGCTGCTTTTTAATCATAAGATACAAAACTTTGTACTTAGGTTAATAAGTAATACGAATTTCTCAAATAAAATGAAATAGAAGTCACAATCTCAGTAAAATCGTTTGAACTATCAATTGTACAATAACCTTCACTTGATGAGAACCCTGAAAACAAAGTGAGGCTCATTACGAAACAATCGAGGCCTAACAACTGCATAATAACCTACCCATGACGAGTACCCAGAAAACAAACTGAGAAAGAAAAGGTGAGACTCATTTCGAAACAGTTGGGGCCTAACAATTGTGTAATAACTTTCGCACGATAAAGCACACACAAAAACAGGTTCAAAGAGAAGTGTCAACCGTTACCAATCTTTAGAACCAACAATAGGTTACTTTAATATTCAGCTGATAACCCTCAAAAATAGAGAATGATGTCAAGTGAAAACTGTAAACAACTATTTTAAGAATTTCATTATTTAATTACCAGTCCCTGAGAGCCCCCGGTGGCACAGCGGTATATCCTGCGGACTTGCAACGCTAGAAACCGGATTTAGATACCCGTGGTGGACTGAGCACAGATAGCCTATTGTGCAGCTTTGTGCTCAACTATAAATAAAACAAACCATTCCCTGAGAACTCAGCAAACACTGTGACTAACGATCTTAGTAATTTTAGGAGATTCAGACATTTCTCTAATTCTCTTGATTTTTAAATGGTCTATTTGAGATCAGTTTAGTTCTTATGAAAAGCTATTTAAGCTTTCCAAAGAAAGGAAAATATTTAACATCGTTTTGAAACGAATAGCAAAATACAAGTATCAATTTGACACCAAAAAGCGTTCTCTTGTTTTAGCCAATAAGTTAATTTGTTTGAAAATTACAGTACAATAATATGACGTATTTTTATAAGCCTTAGGATATACAGGCAGCATATTTGTGGCGAAAACGAAGTATTATAGGAGTATCATAATTACTTTTTTTTCGGCCCGGCATGGCCA